CCTGCCGCGAGACCGGCCTCGGGTCCGGCCGTAAATTTGTCCGAGACGTCAGCGGATGTCGGGCACTCGGGCTGTGAAGTATGAACGGACAACTTGAGCCTGGGCTGCCTGGCTTCACTTCACTTACAACCGGAACCGGTGGGACAGACTTCGGGGGTTCGTAGAGTAAACATGGCCGTATTATCTGACAGCATATATATTTTTATAAAGATCTGGTATCGATTGTAATGTCTGGTTACGTGATCGGTAAGAAGAGGTCATCGTAAGTAGCGATCTCCAAACTTGTTGTTTGAGCCTTAGAGGTAGTTATTTCATTCATTTTTAGAATATGGGACGGGTTGGGCATGAGTGCAAACGTAAGAAAAAAAAACGAGTACAACTAGGCTGAACTAGCCTCTCATCTGGGACTTCTAAACCAGAGGCAGAGAGTGAGACTGAAAGTTCCATTTCGGAGTCTGCACCGCAGCCGGCAGCACCAATGACAGGATAGCAAGGAAATGATGCAGCTAGCCTACACAGATCATCATCATGTGACAGATGCAACAGAAATGCATTACATGCTGGGATTGGGTCAAATTTTGAGGGGTTTCCAATTTCCATCTTATTCTGTTTTCCTAGAACAGGAAGACTTATCTGACTCTGAAACTGTTTTTACTTCTGGGCAGAGCCATAGAGGCCAACTTCTGCTCTCTCTGCTGAAATAGGTACCTGAGGAAATCATACATGCCAATGCCTTAATCATGATTATTGAACTTGAACCTGCACCAGATGAACGTCCTAGCCTAGGTGAGTAGGTGTAGGCCGTGTAGCCATGTAAGACTATCACCAAATTTCTTGCAAATGATTCAGCATTTTATCTCTTAGCAAAGTTTTAGCCCAGTTATATTTGTACTAACCATAGGGGTTAAGAGGATTCAGAAAAATGTCTGTAAGAATCTTTTGACAGGGTAAACGGGGTTACTGTCGTGGTATATTCCGAGTTCCGACACTTTAAGGACGTAGCAAAATATGAATGGCTATAAAAAATTTACCGTACGCGCAACTCATAGTGGCAGAGCAAAGAGTTTTTTAGACTCTCCCTCAAATTCATTTTTGAGTCCTAGCCTATAAGTATACCAGCAAAGTATCATGGATACCAGCATTATCATACATAAGAAATTGATTTAAATCTTTGGTAAATTAGGAGATTAAAAATGAACTGATTCTAAAAAATCTCTTGTTTGTCACTACTGCGCAACTTGAGTTCTGTTTGCTTTATGTCACTCTAAAAACACCGCACTACGTGCCACCATGGTGGCAGGGAATTATTGTGAGTACTTATGCGTTTGCAAGAGCATCGACCGGTCCGGAAAGCGTTGATCGGTTCAAAATGACATAAGAACAGGTTCTTTTGAATAACCTATGGATTGCCACCATGCGTGCCACTGTGCCAGCAATAATGAAACGTCACAAAATGTTGCCAAATGCCATATTTATTTAAAAGCCTTCAGAATGCAAACCTACTAAATCCATATATTCAGACACTGTGTGTGACTAAATTTGGCATTTTGTGAGACTAATTCTGGCCGCGCTTCAAACTCTACTAATTTGTAATGCCGACACTCTTGTTTTCAAATTCCGATCGCTGTGTGAGCTGTTTTGGGATATGACAGCTTGCAATTAGAACACTATTGAATATTGAACACTAGTACACTACTTAATTAGGCTTTTAACTAAGAGCTATTAAGCTTTTAATTAAGAAAATTTGAATTTTTGCAAAGACGGTAAAAACAGCTATGTTTAAGGTGCTTTTTACATCACAGCATCTACCACTACCTATCTACCTGTATGGCTGTATCTTGGCTACCAACGATTCACAGTGGAAACATTTGTGAGTAAGCTTTGGCAGGGCTATAAATTTAAAGGATTTAACCATAATGCCAGCAACTGTAAAGGCCCCTCTTGCTGTGTAGGTTGCGATGGACCACATAATATTAAAGATTGCTCTTCTTCTAGGAGTCTAGCACCAAAATGCTGCAACTGTGGTGGCACACATACTGCTAACTATGGAGGTTGCCGTTGAATGAAATTCGAGCTATCAGATGAGAAAGCTTGTTCTGTCAAGATGTCCTATAGAGATGCTGTAAAGCACGTAAAACAGACATAACTATGAGCAGAACCTGTAACACAGCTATAAATGTATCACTGAGTACATCACCCAACCCTTCTGCAACCTCCCATCCAGTAACTCAGGTCAATCACACGATGAGTTGGCAAACACAAGCTGGCTTGGAAAAAATCTCGGTATCCACACAAACTGATGAAAATGCCCTACAGACTCACTCTCAAGAAAACTCAGTCTCCAAACTGATTGAGCTCCTCTCAAAATTGATAAACCTATGCCAAAACACTGACAACCTAAATATCTCTGATCATATAACCCAGACAGTTGATGAAACTTTTACAGTAGTACCAGCCCAGACAACACAAAATCAACAATGTGGAACTAAACCTAAAACAGTCAACATATCTGCCAATCTCTCCCATAACACCTTGCTTCCTAATCTCAAAAACCAAACTTCAACAGAAATAGAAGTTCACATGCAAGCTCTTGTTATTGATCCTGACCAACCACTCAACAAGACACTTCTGCCAAACCAAAACAGCCCCTCAGTAAGGAGCAGACCATGCACAATATCAAGACTACACAGACCTGGATCACAGATTATTCCAGTTCCTCTTACTCAAGAAGTTATTGAAGTGATCTTCAACCCTTCACCAATAATTGGATGAAACCTAAAGAAGGACAAGTTGGATACAGATACAGTCAAAGGTAAAGATGCTGCTTTGAATACAGCATCTAAGTCATCATGTGGCACGGGAAAAAATTTTGTAAATACCTATAAAAAAACTTCCATCACAGAACTTATCTTCAAAATGCCTTCCTAAAAAAATAAAAATAGTCCAGTGGAATTGTAGAAGTCTGAGGAACAAACTAAGCAACTTTAAACTACATAGTACATATATAAACAACAAAACCTCATGTAATCTGCCTATGTGAAACATGGCTATCTGCAGGGCATGAACCAAGATTTATTAAATACACACCAATCTACAAACATAGGGAGGATGGGACCATGGGTGGGGGTCTGGCAATCCTTATTAGAAGTGATGTATCTTATCTGCCCCTTACACTGCCGCCCTTCTTGCCATTCTTGTTAGAGGTGCAGGGAGTAAAAATACTTTTGAAAAACAATTTTCCAGTTTCAATCATCAACTTATATAATCCTAACATAGCAATATCACTCCCTGAGTATGAACATTACCTCAACCAAGTAGTTCCTTCATCATTGATAGTGGGGTACTTTAATGCTCATTGCCCACACTGGGAACCAGGGCATGCATCCAATCTTGCTGGTAGAAACTTTCATAACTTTTTACTACAGTATCTAATTTTGCTCTACTGACCCCACCTGCACTACCTACATATTTCAACATTTATCAAAACTCCTTTTCAACTCTAGACCTCACCATTATATATATTACCACTGACCTATAGCTAATTTCTTCAGTCTCAACATTAACAGATCTTGGGAGTGATCATTACTGTCAAACAAGGTAGAAAGGGATGGGTGGGGTAATAAGGGATGGGTGGGGTAATAATGGATAGTCCTCAACATTTTGTAGAAATGTTGTAACAGCTAAACTAATTTAAAAAATACATAACTAAAAATAGTGGTGTAAAGTTCAACATTTTTACTATCTATGCAGCATAAAGCAAGAGAAATCATACATTTATTACCTCTAAAAAATCCCCGAAAAAAGTGTGAAAAGTGAGATTTTGGAAAAGTACCTCTGCTAAGGTCTGTAGCAGAAAAAATATTTGTCGTATTGAAAAATTTTACTTACATAAAAGTTGCACACAAGTGTTGGCTTGAAAATGAGATTGACAGAATTTGCATATCTCATTCCAAGAAAAAAGGCAGCCATTTCCGCAAGACAGGGTAATAAGGGACACCCCCCCCCTGGGGTAATAAGGGACACCCCTAAAACTGCATTTACAGTAGAACCTTGCTTAGCAAAGGCTCCAGTTGATGAAAAAAATCAATTAACAACCAAGAATTTCGCTTACATTTACCTCGCTCAGTTAATAAAATTTCACTTGATAAAAAATTACTGCATCAGTCATCACAAAATTGTGCATAGAATGTCACAGATAGAATTGAGCACTGGGCAACAAAGAATGAAAAGTAATTAACCAGGTATGTTTTTTACAATCTTGTTTGTTATAGTGAAATCACTTGACTCAATTAAAATCGTGCAAAATTAAAAACCATCCTGTAAGCTTACAGATACGGAAGAAATGCTACATGGCTGCTGATGTGTAGCTTGCAGTGGACAAGGTGGTTGTTAATGCTCAATGGCATGTCCATGGATACAGTAATATCACATTAATAATACAATAATGTATGGATATGGTAATACCATATCAAAAAAGAAAAAAAAAACTAGTAAAAATCACTGAAAAAGTAATTTTTTCTACATCTACATCATCTACAAAGGAAGAGGAGGACTTCAGAATATTGTTGGTAATGGATGAGAACACTTTGCATGCTTCAAATGTTTTGAAATTGAGTTTTATTTCAAGTGTCCCAGATTACCCCGTTCCCAGGGGTAGTTCGGGACTCTTTTATTTTGCCTCTGGCTCCTTGCGAATAACATATGGAATTTTTTGGAGATGCCATTTGATAGTCCTTGCAAAGAGCTTTAAAATGAGCCCAAACTTGTTTATGAAATGTTTCATGGTAAGAAGTTATCAACGAAAAATGCTCAAAACTGTCCCTTATTACCCCATTTGACATTATGTCCTTATTTTAGATATTACTATGATGTTTTGGAAGCCTATTTAAAAGAGTAAGATTTCTGAGGGCACTTGAACCTTCTCCTGCTTTCAAATAATGATCTGAATTTATTTTGAACTGTGCTAGAGAAATGACTTTCTTCAATTTCTCTAATTGCAGGATTTAGATATATAGGTATATAATAAAGATGGCATCTTTAATATGAATCACAATATGAGTGATCAAATCAATAAATAAAATGCAATCATTATTAGGTAATCAAACCCTCAAGATGGTGCAAAGTGAAGATGAAGGCAAGGAGAGGAAAAGCTTCAGAGATTCACCACGCCTTTACCTTCTTGGTCCACGTCATATTGATTCTCAGCATTATTATGAAGAAGAGCTGCCACCATGGAGGTTGAAAGACAGGGTAAATCTTCCTATTTTTTACCCTTTCAATTGTTTTCATTTTATTGAATAACTTGAGATTTTATCAGCATTATCAGATCTAACTTTTAAAGTTGCATCAATCCAAACTAGCAACTGTACATGTCTTGTATATATGTAACTGTGTGTCAATTTGTATATTGTATTAGGGGTCATTTCACTTTGGTGCTGTTTTCACTTTGGTGCTATTATTTAATTGATTATAAAACATTAGGTGTGTCAATTTGTTTATTGTAGTAGGTATCATTTGACATTGGTGCTGTTTTCACTTTGGTGCTCATATTTAATTGATTATAAAACATTATGTGTGTCAATTTGTATATTGTAGTAGGTATCATTTCACATTGGTGCTGTTTTCACTTGGTACTATTATTCAATTGATTATAAAACATTGTTAACAAGTTAATCTTCTTTTTTTTTCATTTTTGGTGCTGTTTTCACTTTGGTGCTATTATTTAATTGATTATAAAACATTAGTAACAAGTTAGGTACTTTGATACTGTTTCACATTATTTAATCGATTATAAAACATTGGTAACAAATTAATTTTCTTTTCTTGTTTGGGCAGATGAAGACAGTGAGCGTGGCGTTGGTCTTATGCCTCAATCTGAATGTGGATCCTCCAGATATAATTAAAACTAAGCCTTGTGCCAGGCTTGAGTGTTGGTTTGGTAAGTGCATTATCCTTCTGAATCTCATTGGAGAATTAATAGTATTGAAGTCTCCAGCAATTAATAGTATTGAAGTCTCCAGCAATTAATAGTATTGAAGTCTCCTGCAATTAACAGTATTGAAGTTTCCAGCAATTAATAGTATTGAAGTCTCCAGCAATCTAGAGCATTAGATGTAGATTATATATTTTTCCCTACTTCTAATCCAGTTCTAGTAAACAGGAAATTTTTTTAATGGCTGTACTAGTTGCTAATTAATAATTGTCATAAAGGTTCCTGGTTCATAGTTCATCCAGAATAGTTAGTTTTTTTTCAAATATAGTACCTATATATTAAAGATTCAATAGTATACATTTTAGCACTTGCTTATCCTCCAGATCCACAGAAGTGCAATTTGGCCACAAAACCTATCAAGCAAATTGGGAACAAATTGCAGAAACAGTACGAGACATGGCAAAGACGAGCAAGATACAAACAGAGCCACGACCCTACAATTGAAGAGGTGATTCTTTTCTTATTCTTATTACTATTATTATTATTATTATTATTATTATTATTATTATTATTATTATTATTATTATTATTATTATTATTATGAATAAGAGAAGAGATTGTTGTCTCCATGAAGAGATTGTTGTGGCGTCTCGTTCAGATCGAACTTCGAGGGCACGTTAGAAGTGGCTAACAATCTTTTTTTTTTTTTTTGGTTAAACATATCACAGCATTAACATGCTTTTCCTGACATGTTTATGGACGTTTATCTCTATAGAATTTACTTTTCTTTATCAAATGAAAATAGTTAATGTTTGAATTTGTCTAATTTTATTTTATTCACTCATTAGTGTTTTTCTTTAATTCTGTACATAGAAGTCATAAAAAGATTATAGTAAAAGTCTATGCAATCTGTAGAGGATTAATTTTTTGTTAACTGGAATGTTTTTGTGTGCAGCTAAAGAATTTGTGCATCTCACTGAGGCGCAATGCCAAAGAAGAGCGAGTCTTATTCCATTATAATGGCCATGGAGTGCCTCGTCCCACGGACAAGGGAGAAATATGGGTCTTTAATAGTGTAAGTTGTGATCCATGCTCACTTCAAGTTCATTTATCTGTATATCACTCAAATATACCTAGATCATATAATGACCTATTTATAACCTTCGTGATCATATAGTTTCCAATTTTTAGCACATTTTCTTATTTATGGAAAAAAATGCACTATTGTGCTCGCCATGTCCGTCTGTCTGTCTGTCTGTCCATCCATCTGTCTGTCTGTCCGTCCGTCTGTCTGTCCGTGACCTCAAGTTTTTGTCTACAAGAAAATGCGCTCTGTCACTCACTGCAGTGAGTACTGAGTTATATTTTTTACATTCATTATTGCTGTGGAAGTTCATTCATCTGAATTCAAATGTAGATTACATAATCCACTAATATACCTAATGTCAGTGCTCACACAGTTTTCATGTGAAAGTTTAAGTCCATTTTGGTGTGTGAAAAAAATATACTGTTACATGTCAAGAAACACGTTCCTAGATTGTTTCTAGACAGATTAAGTTAATCTCTTTTGAAATTGGAATCAATAAAATTGGATTACTGAGTGTTTATAATCTTTTCAGAATTATACTCAGTATATCCCCTTGTCGGTGTACGAGTTGCAGCAATGGCTAACTTGCCCATCCATCTACGTTTATGATTGTTCCAATGCTGGCGTCTTACTAAAGCACTTCAACAGTCAGGGAGTTTGGAAAGTGAGTTGGAATATTGTTTGAATTGTGTTCAGTTTGGCTTATGTTTTTATTTGTACAAGAATCTTTCTTCATTGGTGGTGTTGAAGATATGTTATGAGCTAGGCATATAGTACTGATAAATTTAGGAACTTTTCTTCAATGGTGATGTTAAAGATATGTTATAAGAGCTAGGCATTAAGTATTGATAAATTTAGTATGTGATAAAGCTAGGCATAAAGTATTGATAAATTTAAAAGGGAATATTTTCACATTATTATGGTGTTTCCAGAACAATGGGAGCAGTGATGGTGGTGACAGCGGTATTTATAAATTTAAAAGAGAATATTTTCACATTGTTATGGTGTTTCCAGAACAATGGAGGTAGTGATGGTGGTGACAGCGGTATTGATAAATTTAAAAGGGAATATTTTCACATTGTTATGGTGTTTCCAGAACAATGGAGGTAGTGATGGTGGTGACAGCAGTATTTATAAATTTAAAAGAGAATATTTTCACATTGTTATGGTGTTTCCAGAACAATGGAGGCAGTGATGGTGGTGACAGTGGTACAGAAGGAGAGGTCACCACCACTGCCACTGAGCAGCCTTCCAGTCCCGGCAGTCAATCCGTACAGCCTCCACCTCAGCAGGGTGCTGCGCAACAGCAGCAGCATCCTGCTGGTATGTTATTTCCACTGACCTTTAACTGTGGAATCTAAACTTATTGGCTGTTAACTGTGGAATCTAAACTTATTGGCTGTTAACTGTGGAATCTAAACTTGATTGGTTCAAACAAAAATACTTTTAGTTGTTTCTACTCTAATAACAGATTGTTATGATCAATTTGCCAAGTTACTTTCGTGTTTCCAGATCCTCAAGCTGACCGCCATCAGCAGCAACACCCTGCCTCAGGAGGTGTCCGCCAGTCTAGTCGCCAAGTAGCGGATTTTGGTCCCGTTCATCCCGTTAATCCGCACCTCATTGCAGGAAATCCCAATTTCCAGGCAAACAATGTACCTGGTCAAGAAAACGTCAACTTTAACACCAACCTTGGGCCTAACATGGGCCAGCCTATCGAGTCAGGGTGTAGCACGCCTCAACCGTCCGTCTTTGGGTAATTTATTATTGATTGAGATGAAATAAGTTGTACTGCTACACACTAAAGTTTCTGTTATAACGAGAGAAAACGTCAACTTTAAAACCAACCTTGGGCCTAACATGGGCCAGCCCATCGAGTCAGGCTGTAGCACGCCTCAACCGTCCGTCTTTGGGTAATTTATTATTGATTGTGATGAAATAAGTTGTACTGCTACACACTAAAGCTTCTGTTATAACGAGCTTCTGTTATATATACTACTGCATTATTGAAACTAGAAGGATACGGTGGGTATACACATCGATATTTGCTTGTTCAAAAACACTAAATAGATCCCAAGTTCAAATATCACCTTAAGATTTGCTGCCGATGTGTCCCGAGCTTATTATTCACATGCTCTGTATTGTTCACATGCTCTGTATTATTGACATGCTCTGTATTGTTCACATGCTCTGTATTATTGACAGTGAGAGCATCCACCTGTGTGCGTGTGGTGAAGGGGAACTCCTGCCGATGTGTCCCGAGCTTCCAGCTGACGTCTTCACCGCGTGCCTGACGACGCCCATAACCATGGCAGTGCGATGGTTCCTGCTGCAACATTGTGCCTACCCGCCCCCTCTCCATATTGCTGACAAGTCAGCCCTCGCTTTTATCATACATTCTCTTCATCAAATATCTTATCATACTCCTGCCAATTCTCGTCTCCATGTTGCTGACAAGTCAGCCCTCGCTTTTATCGTACATTCTCTTCATCAAATATCTTATTATACTCCTGGCAAAATCATACATTCTCGTCATCAAATATCTTATTCAATTGTCTACTTTTTTTCGCTCAGTTGCTGACAAGTCAGCCCTCGCTGTTATCATACATTACATCTCCATATTGCTGACAAGTCAGCCCTCGCTGTTATCATACATTCGCGTCATTGTTCAATCGTCTACTTTTTCTCTCCGTTCAAGTTATATTTACTTTTTAAAATCTAAATTTGGTATATAATAATTACACTAATTCTCTCTCATGTCTTTCAATTCATAATTGAAATATTTTCATTGCATAGGTACGTCTGAATATTTTATACATGTGTTACTTAACTTAGGAGTATCTAAGCTGATGAAATGTATCATTTGTTTCATCATATCTCACGAAATGCATTTATTATCAGCTCAGAAAGTTGAATTATTGAATTTATTGACACAAATAATTTATATTATCAAATATTTATATATATTTGTATATGTATTTGTATACCGGTATGTATTGTCAAATGTTATATGTATTTATATATATTTGTAGCGAAGAACAGAGGTGTTCTATGTGCTCTCCAGCACAGCTTAGTATCTCCTTCTAATCTTGGAACAAAATTTAAATTTGCTGGGGGAGCAAAATTTTAATTTGCTGGGTATTAATATTCATTAGTTGTTTTATTTACATTAATCATCATGACAATTTTTACGATGACATCATTTCTGTGATCAGGATACCCGGAGAACTGCATGACCGACGCACGGTGCTCGGAGAGCTCAATTGGGTTTTCACGGCCATAACTGACACCATCGCGTGGAATGTTCTCCCTCTCGGTGCGTAATTTACAGTGTTTTTCTTCTGATTTAATCTGCAGTTTGGCCTCAATAATGTTGTCATGGAGCAAACGTAACTTTATTAGGAAAGCGCTCTTATACATAATTTACAACATTTTTTATAAATGATTCTATGGGTTTTTTCTCAATAATGTTGTCTTAAAGCAAACGTGAATTTAATAGAAAAGCGCAATCAGAGAATCTCANAATCTAAGGACTGTATTTTTATCATTTACATGGAAATGGTAAACACACATCTATAAAATACGAATAAATAATCTCTTTAAAATATTTTGAAGTAACATGTTGGAATGACCTGTTTATGTTTTAATTGGAAACGCTAAAAATTCAAATGTTCTGCATTATCTAGCAATAATGTTCTCGCATTTACATTGAACGATCTTTGAAAATTAGAATGCCCTTCATTATCTAGCATTAATGTTCCCACTTCTACATTAAACGATCATTAAAAATTTGAATGCCCTGCATTATCTAGCAATAATGTTAACATATTTACATTGAACGATCTCTAAAAATTAGAATGTCCTGCATTATCAGCAATAATGTTAACATATTTACATTGAACGATGTTGTGTTCTTCAGAGCGGTTCCAGAAGCTGTTCAGACAGGACTGCATTATCTAGCAATAATGTTAACATATTTACATTGAACAATGTTGTATTGTTCAGAGCGGTTCCAGAAGCTGTTCAGACAAGACCTGCTGGTAGCGTCTCTCTTCCGGAATTTCCTGCTAGCGGAGCGCATCATGCGCGGCTATGGCTGCTGTCCGGTCTCTCTTCCCCGCCTTCCTCCTACGCACTGTGTAAGATCTTAACTCTAAACTATTATTATTCATGTTAAAATTTCTTTAATAAGTTTTACAGCTGGTGTACAAAGCCACAAACTCAAGCATTTCGTCTGAGCCGTTTGTTAAAATTCATTACCTTGGTTTCCTACGCACTGTGTAAGATCTTAACTCTAAACTATTATTATTCATATTAAAATATATATTATCTCTCCTATTAAAATTTGTTTAATAGTTTCACAGCTAGTCTACAAAGCCACAAACTTGAGCTTTTCGTATGATATATTGGGTAAAATCTTTGATATAATGTATCTGTTATGATCATTATCTTGGTATATATAAATATATATTATATACATATATACCGTATATGTATATAATATAGGTATATACAGTGGGGGGAAATAAATATTCGTACACTTGAAAAATCGTATTTTAATGTATGTAAGTACACAAACTTAACAGGAAAAGTGATTTAAATTATGTATAGAGACGCATAGTATTCAAAAATACTATCAAAAGAAATTAAATCTCAATGCAACAAAAAACAATGCAACATGTTCACTTTT